CTTGGAGATGCAAGAACCTACTAACATTCATGAAATTTAGCAACTGAATGGTCGAGTCACAGCTTTAGGACGTTTCATCTCATGCTCGGCTAAGAGGTGCATGTCTTTCTGCTGAACCCTAAAACAACTGAAGAGCTATTAGTGGGACGATAAGTGTCAGCTCGCCTTTGAAAAGATAAAAGAGTTTCTATCTTCAACTCCTCCTTTAAAGTATTTGGGAACTCAAAGAGAATTGAATTTAAGGCAGAGGAGATAGCTTGAGCTGATAAAAGATTATGATTGTGCTATAGATTATCAATTAGGACAAGCTAATGTAGTAGCTGATGCATTGAGTTATAACCACAGAGTTATCGTTAGTTCATGATCTATGGTCCATTAATGCAAAGTTTAAGGAGATTTATGATGACTGGGTGTTGGCTAGTCTACAAGTAAAGTCTTTATTGATTGAACAGATTAGAACAGCAGCACAAAATGATAATGAATATCAAAAGCTTCTTTTAGAAACACAAGACAGTAAAACGCCAGAATTTTCCATTAACAACGAGGGGCTACTACTATTTTAAGACCGATTTTGTGTCCCTTTTGATTTGGATTTAAGGCAACTTATCTTGAAGGAAGCATATAATTCTCCATTTGCTATGCACCCGGGTGGAACTAAGATGTATAGATATTTAAAAAGGAATTATTGGTGGAATGGTATAAGAAAGACATTGTTGAATTTATGGCTAAATGTTTAACCTGTCAGCAAGTTAAGGCAAAGCATCAAGTAACAGCAGGACTACATCATCCACTTCAAATTCTAGAGTAGAAATGGGATAGAGTGACTATGAATTTTATGATGGGACTTCCACTCACTCAGAAAAAGCAAGATGCAATTTGGGTGATAGTGGATAGATTGACAAAGAGTGCTCACTTCCTACCTGTTAAATCATATAATAGTTTGGAGAAATTGGAAGAATTATGTATTGATGAAATAGTCAAATTACATGGAGTGCCAGTATCCATTGTCTTTGATAAGGATCTAAGATTTACATTTAGATTCCGGGTAGTTTGTAAAAAGTCCTAGGGAATAGATTAAATTTTAGTATTGCATTTCATCCCCAAACAGATGGTCAGTCTGAGAAAATTATTCAGATATTAGAGGATATGCTTCGAGCTTGTGTACTTGAATTTGAGGATAGCTGGGATAGATATCTACTTTTAATGGAATTTGCTTATAATAACAGCTACCAGACAAGCATTAGAATGCCTCCATATGAAGCGTTGTATGGTAGAAAGTCTAGAACACCTTTATGCTGGGATGAAGTAGGTGATAGACAATTGCTAGGCCCAGAGATTATTTAGCAGGCTGAAAGAAGATCAAAGTAATTAAAGAAAGATTGAAAGCAGCCGTAGATAGTCAGAAATCCTATGTGGATTTGAAAAGAAGAAGTACAGAATATGACGTGGGTGATAAAGTATTTCTCAAGGTTTCTCCTTGGAAGCCAGTTGGACATTTGGAAGAAAAGGAAAGTTGAGACCTCGTTTTATAGAACCTTATGAAGTACTCGAGAGAATTGGTCCATTGGCATATAGATTAGCCTTACCTCCAGAGTTAGATAATATTCATAATGTTTTTCATGTTGCTATGCTACGGAGGTATAAATCTGATCCATCTCATGTATTGCCTCTAGAATTGATTGAAGTTAATCCTGACCTCACGGGTGATGAAGACTAGTGGCTATCTTAGCTAAAGAAACTAAGCAACTTCGGAATAAACAGATTCCTTTGGTTAAGGTATTATGGAGAAATCACTCAAGGGATGAAGCTACTTGGGAACACGAGGAAGATATGAGGAGACAGTACCTATAGCTTTTTCAAAGATCTATGATAGGTAAATTTCGAGACAAAATTTCTTTAAGGAGGGGAGAGTTGCAATATCCTCAATTTGATAATTCTAGGAATTCTAGTTATCATGTTAATTAGCATTATCCGAATAGCGATAATAATTGAAATTATCTTAATTTTAATATGTAAAACTATTAATTGGAAGTTAAAATGCAAATCAAAGTTAAGTTATGTCGTGAGGATCAAATTGGAATAAGATTAAATGAGTTTAAGCTTTGACAATGAGAAGTTAGCACGTGAAGCTCATTAAGCTAGCACATTGATTTATCATTTAATGAATTGATTATTAAACACCTAAGACATATGATTAAAGGTTAATTATGACTAGACTAATGATAAAAAATATTTAGGTGCAATTGTGTGAAAAAGGAAACAAAGAAGGATTAAGGTGCAAAATGGCAACTAAAGGACATTGGAGGAGTGTTTGTGGAACTAAAGGACATGGGAGAACGTGAATGAATGTTTTTAGTAGTGTTTGTAGAAATGGATTGTTACCAATGTGTTCTCAATTATGTTTAATATATGAAATGATTTATAGTTTTATAGCTGCTGATAGACATAGTTATTGCCCTGTAGATATCACTTCATTTGTTGAAGTTGATATTGTGATTGATATGGAAATGAATGATAAACAAATGATATTGTTCCCTCTTAAATGAGGTTGAGATTGTCCCTCTTTGTTGAGATATAAATCACAGATTGAGGTTGAGATAGTTTTGTCTTAATGAGCTCATAGGACAGTGATGACCCTTCTGATCAAGTCTATTTAAGATGTTGAGACTAAATCGAATGTTGTTAAGCTTCTTGAATTGATGCTTTTTTCTATAATTATGATGCTCGGTAACCATTTTTACACAAAGGCAATTTCATGATTTTGAGCAAAGAATTTTTATCACTATTGTTGATATACTTTATTACTAAACTCTTTACTGAGTTAAAAGAAATATTGATTTTCAAGAAAGATTAAATGAAAATGATTCTTGTATAAAGTTTTATTTACAGTTATGGTTAACCTTGGAAAAATGTGAATTTACACTTGATTATATATATATATATCTTTATTACTACTCTTTACTGAGTTAAAAAGAAATATTGATTTTCCAAGAAAAGAATTAAATGGAAAATGATTCTTTTGTATAAAGTTTTAATTTAACAGTATGGTTTAAACACTTGGAAAAATGTTGAATTTACCACTTGATTATATATATATATATATATAATAATAATATATATATTATAATATTGACCACCAAAGCAATTTGTTAGCAATAATTTTTCTGTGTACTATCGAAGAGAAAAAAAGGGAGAAGCAGAAGAAGTGAGTCTTGCTAATTGCAACAAAATTCCTTTTGAAAATTGTAAAATGTAAGAGCACGTACTGTAGCTATTGTATATAGTTCCTTTTTGGGATTTTGTAATGATGTATAGAACATTAAACAGAACACATATAATTAAGAGTACATATGTAATTAAAGTTTATGTAAACTCTGAAAATGCTAGTATATAGTACAATATATATATATATATATATATGTGTGTGTGTGTGTGCGTGCGCGCGCGCGCGCGCGCACATGCGCTTTTATTATTACTTAAAGTAACTTACTCTTATTATTATTTATATATGAAAGTGAGATTGATTTCATATGTGTTGCATTTCAATTCTGTTTATGGGTTATGGAACCATTTGCGATGAACGAACTTGCATAATTGTAAAACAAAAATTTTATGATATTACTTGTACTTTCCCCTATATATATAAATTTATATTTTAAAAATGGAAAAAGCTTTTGATTCTGCTTCTAAATAATGTTCTTGAAAACAAATTAGCTAATGGGGATGTGTTTCAAAATTATTTTATTTAAGTCCTTTGTACTATGTTTATTGAGTTCTTATGTAAAGTAAGTGCTTAATAAGCATATTACGGACAACATGTCACATCAAGTGTGACATGTGTATAACTTAAATGTCCATTTAACTAAGAATATATTCAAAAAATATTTATGCTATTATAAATAATGTTGTAGTTCTCTTTATTACAAATCATTTTGATATTTATTTTATTTAAGTCCTTTGTACTATGTTTTTAAGTCCCTTTGTAACTATGTTTTATTGAGTTTTTGGCAAAGTAAAAGTGTCCTTAATAAGCCCATATTACGTGACAACAATGTCCAACAATCAAGTTTGGACATGTGTATAACTTAAAAATGTCCATTTAAACTAAGAATATAATTCAAAAAATATTTATGCTATTTAAAATAAGTGTTGTAGTTTTTCTTCTTTTTATTCCAATCAATTTTGAATTACTTTTAAAAGTAAGTGCTTAATAAGCATATTACGGACAACATGTCACATCAAGTGTGACATGTGTATAACTTAAATGTCCATTTAACTAAGAATATATTCAAAAAATATTTATGCTATTATAAATAATGTTGTAGTTCTCTTTATTACAAATCATTTTGATATTTATCATTCCTGATTTATTTCAAGTAGCGTTTTTATTGTTATTTTTAAACATTTAATAATTCATAATAGTTTAATAAAAATAATAATTATAATAATTATTAAAATAATATTTCAATAACCGTGTGTGAAAAGCTATTTTTTGACTAGTATAATATAAATGCAAATCAAAAAGCTCCAAAATAACTAATGAAATTAGCAGCTATTGATTAGGACCTCTATCAGCAATAGTCCTACAATCAAATGAATTAGCGGCTGATTATCAGCTACCGATTAAAACGTTTACTAAACGCCTAAAATCTAGTTGTTAAACACAAACATAAATGAGAATAAAATTATTTTTATTGTGGTGCGCATTAATAAAAGAAAATTAAATTGAATCTTTTTCATTCCTTTAATGAATATATTATCATAATTTTTGCCTTTTCCTCTAATTTAATATATAAACCCTACAATTGAGAAGGTGATTAACTAAAGATTTGGTTGCAACAAATGGATAGGATTACAAGAATGAAGACACAGAGGAAGAGGCAAATCTATAAATAAGCTAAAATTTAGGGGCACCATAAAATAAACTCACACTCTCACGTGAGGTGTAATAATATTATAGTAATAATAAATTAAGTAGATAGTGATCTGAAACGTCAAGGTAGCATTTCGCGTGATTTCACTTGCATTTAGAGTTCATTTCGCGTTGTTGTTCGAAAATTTCGAAACCCAACCTCCACTTGTTATATACACAGAAAAATCGAAATCTTTAGGGAAAAATTGAAAAAAAAAAAAAAAGCAGGAAAAAAAGTGGAAAAGGGGGAGAGAGACAAAACCCAGTTTCCGTAGCTTCGCTTTAGCCCTATCTGTATAAGAGAAGAAGAAGAGAATAAGGGAAATAATCCATGAGAGTGCTGCTTGTTCTGGGTAAAGACTAACGAGCGAAGAAAACCACGACGGTTTAATGGCACTAAAGCTTGAACAGCAGCTCAAGGAGTTGGGATCGAAGCTGGAGACCCCTCCTCCTACTAAAGACACTCTTGTTAAGCTCTTAAAGGTACGCATTTGTGCGAATTGTTAACTAATTACTTTAATTTGGTCAGCTTTGTGAACGTGGGTGGGAGAATAGGGGTTATTAGTGTTTTTTCTGTTTGGTTGCTGAGAAAATTGTGGGAACTAAACGAACTAAAGCACAAATTAGGTTTCTTGTTTTTGTCTTTTATGTTGTGGCGGTTCGCTGAATTAGGTTATTTGGAGTTACTGATGTAGCTTGCTTAGGGTTTCCTTAACGTGAGCTCTGAAAAATGAGGTTTTCATACGTCAAATTTGCGCTCTTTTTAGGTTGCAAGTTAGTGTTTAGTGAACTAAGTTTTTGTCTGGAGGTTTAGGAAAGTCGTGTGGTGAAATTTGATTGAAATAGGGTTTATCACTGCATGGTTTCTTTCAAGGTTTGCAGCTAAAAGGGGAAAATTAATTATAGATTAAATAATATAATATATACCGTTCAACATTTCAACTTGTTTCTGTTATGGTGGATTGAATTTCTGGAGGGTAAAAATTTATGCCTTCGATGGACGCTTTTAGTATTTCTATTTGATTTAGTGTGGCTCTGGTTCTTGGATGGGGCTACTGTACCTGTAGACATTAAATGAATAAATTGGTTCTTTGTTAGGTGATGAGCTCAAGGTGCTTTTCACTTGAAGGGATCATCCCATGTTGAAATTTTATTATTAACAAGTCTTGTCGGTTAATAATTGGGATATTTGGTGTTCGTCTTGGACTATTTAACAGTTGAAGTTTTCACCTGTTGGATTAAGTTGTGCACTATGCCATAATGCAACAAATGGCCAAGGCCAAAGCTGATCAATAACTTACTCTAACTTGAACAATTGTTAAATGATTATGCATGGGAACAGGGCCAAAGGGGTGATATTACACGGTCACATCTAGACCTGAAATTTTAATGTTTGCAATTGGCTATTAGACATTGATATTGTGGGTGCAAAAGTAACAATCATAAGAGAGAGCTAATATTGAACATGATGATGAAGCCTCTTTGCAATAACGAGATGATATTCTCAAATATGTCAATGACGACTAGGTGTCAGATATAAAATTGTTAAGGTTGATTATGTGGATAACTTTCACCCATGGCCAATTTGCATTTAACTTTATTGTGGTAACCTTTTTCTCAGGAAAAAAAAAGGTTTTGGCAACCTAATGCGATTTGTTGCACCAAAAATCATCAATTTAACATTTTTGTGCCGATAGTCATTGGGGCTAATTCCACTTAATATTGGTGGAGATGTGGTATGGCAATCCTCAAAAAATCAAGTGATGGCCTCAATTGAGAAAAAAAGGGGAAATCAAAGGTAGTTTTGAGGGGCTAATTTTGCATGTCTTTCAGTGAAATAGCTCATATAAACTGCCACATCAGTTTTCTGGCAAACAGTTGGAATGTGTCTCCAGTAACTTCAGTGAAACTAAATCTGTAAATTTGTGATTTATGCTCCAAGCCTACAACTAAATGAATGTTAGTTATTGTGTTGAAGTTAAGTTTTAGTTCAAGTGACGCAAGTGAAATTTACAATCACGAAGTAAAAGATTCACTGGCAGTGATTTGAAACAAGTTGAGTCTGAAAGCTATATAGAGTTACTTGCTTTCCATGTGAAAGGTAATTATTTATTTGTTTTCTGAACTGCACATGGAGTTGTAAATTTATTTAAGAAGGCCACAGAATGGTTACATCTAATTTCTTGTTCCCTTTATTCTTTTGGTTTCTATGTGATACAAGTGATTACATCTGTTGAAACTAAGTTATCTAGCCTCCCTTTCCTTCTTCTTTTCCTTTCTTATCTTCCTTCTGTCTGACCTGGCTGAAATGGCCTATGATTTGGATCATGTCATATTGTATTTCCTTTGCCTTCTAATATATGAAAAAACCTACCTGCTTACCCATTTGATGCATGTTAGTTTTTCTTTCTTTGTGGGCCCAAAGCTGCTGAACTTAATGGGGCTTCTTTGTGATTCCAATCATTTTTATGGATTTGGACTTTCAATCTTCAATTTTGCTCATTCTGTCATCTAGCACAATTTTCTTTAATCTTTGGCTTTTCTGTTGTATAATGTTCTGTATTTCATGAATATGCATGCGATATTGGGTTCTAGGTACCAAGGCTGTTTTGCTGCACTGTTAATCATGGTTAGACTGAGAATATAGTACTTCATGGGGATTACATTACCTTTGATGCTTTTGCTTGTGTTTCTTGTGCTAATGTGCAAAGTTATGGTTCTTGTTTGGTTTTTATGTAAACCTCTGAAAATTTTCCTTTGCCTGCAGCAAGCAGCTACATGTCTTTCTGAGATGGATCAATCACCATCAGCTATAACAATGGAGTCAATGCAGCCGTTTCTTGATGCAATTGTTAAGCCAGAATTGCTAAAGCATCAAGATAGAGATGTTAAGCTTCTAGTTGCAGCCTGTATTTGTGAGATAACTCGGATTACTGCCCCTGAAGCTCCTTATAGTGATGATGTTTTAAAGGTGCGTATCTTCTATGAAGCTTAGCTAATTTATGGAGTTTAAATGACGGACTTTAATATCACAATTACCTGCTACTTTATTGCACCTAATTGATCTACGTCTCTCTGCAGGATGTTTTTCACTTGATTGTAGGCACTTTTAGTGGGTTAAGTGATACTGGTGGTCCGTCATTTGGAAGAAGAGTTGTTATTTTGGAGACCCTTGCCAAATATAGGTCGTGTATTGTGATGTTGGATCTGGAATGTGATGATCTTGTGAATAAAATGTTCAGTACATTTTTTACCGTTGCCAGGTGTGTTTTATTCTGTGAGTCTTGGGCTAACATTTATAGGATAGTGCCTTTCTTTCACATTTTTGTACCCTTCGTTTATTTAAATGCTGAGATGATTGTTCTCTTGCCAAAATTTCAAACCATGCACTTAAGGATTGCAAATGAGCAAGGTTTTCCATGCTCAGATGGTTGGTTATGAAACAAGCTTTAAATGTAGGCTTGCACACTTGGATCATTTAGCCATAGTTCACGTTTCTCTTTGCTTCATCTTTCCCATTATATGCATAACAGTTACTGTCATTAAAGTAGGATCTTAAGATCGATGCGCATTTCAGACATTCTAAACAACAGTCAATTAATTTGAGATTCATTTTTATTATTTATTATATATATTTTTTGTTTTTTAATTTCTGGAAGGGAGTGCTGTACAATTTTTAAGGATGTTGGTGAGATTAATGTTGAATGTTTTTATGATTGGCATGTAAGAAAGGACAGGTCCAGTTGGAAAACTCAAACACAGACAATTGCATATAACACAAGTACACATATCATGACTGGGTTGCTTTTTATTTGCTTTTATAATTATGCAATAAATGAATTTGTGATTCCATTTTACCAATGGAAAAGAAAAATGCAACATGTGCTGCTTGCTTTAGTATTTCTGTCAAGAAGGTTTATGTGGTAAAAACATATGGGAAAATGCATATTCGGCTTTGCATTATTCCCTTTCTATTGAGGAATTTTATTTATGTGATAACTATTGATCTCAAAAGTTGCACTTATGCAGTGATGATCATCAAGAAAGTGTATTGTCATCCATGCAAACAATAATGGCTGTCCTTCTAGAAGAAAGTGAGGATGTCAAAGAGGATCTCTTACTTGTCATATTATCTGTATTAGGTCGAAATAGAAGTGTAAGCATTTCCTCTTTGTTTTTCATGCTATTTATGGTGATTTCTTTTTATTAATATCACTTCATATTCTTGCCTATAATATTATATTATTGTATTGCTTAAGAAGGAGCTTTTTTTATGATCTCAACTTCCAGGATATTTCTTCAGCTGCAAGGAGACTTGCTATGAATGTAATAGAGCAGTGTGCTGGAAAACTTGAAGCTGGAATAAAACAGTTCCTTGTATCATCAATGTCAGGAGATAACAGGTCTGCAAATAGTCAGATTGACTATCATGAAGTTATATATGATGTTTACCGTTGTGCTCCTCAGATCTTGTCAGGAGTCATTCCTTACCTTACAGGGGAACTATTGGTAATGACAGATTTTGTGCCCTGCCTTTCTTATCTGGTTTGTATCATCATGTCATGTGCGAGTATTATCTTACAGTGCTTTTTGGAAGAAATGGTATTTGCTCAAGTGAAACAGTTCTGCACAGTTGATTTAAATTAATCTTGAGCTTAATATCACTTTTTGGAAGAAATGGTATTTCTTTTTGGAAGAAATGGTATTTGCTCAAGTGAAACAGTTCTGCACAGTTGATTTAAATTAATCTTGAGCTTAATATCACTTTTTGGAAGAAATGGTATTTGCTCAAGTGAAACAGTTCTGCACAGTTGATTTAAATTAATCTTGAGCTTAATATCACTTTTTGGAAGAAATGGTATTTGCTCAAGTGAAACAGTTCTGCACAGTTGATTTAAATTAATCTTGAGCTTAATATCACTTTTTGGAAGAAATGGTATTTGCTCAAGTGAAACAGTTCTGCACAGTTGATTTAAATTAATCTTGAGCTTAATATCACTTTTTGGAAGAAATGGTATTTGCTCAAGTGAAACAGTTCTGCACAGTTGATTTAAATTAATCTTGAGCTTAATATCACTTTTTGGAAGAAATGGTATTTGCTCAAGTGAAACAGTTCTGCACAGTTGATTTAAATTAATCTTGAGCTTAATATCACTTTTTGGAAGAAATGGTATTTGCTCAAGTGAAACAGTTCTGCACAGTTGATTTAAATTAATCTTGAGCTTAATATCACTTTTTGGAAGAAATGGTATTTGCTCAAGTGAAACAGTTCTGCACAGTTGATTTAAATTAATCTTGAGCTTAATATCACTTCTACTGTTTATACATAGAATCCTATTTGTTGTTTCTCAGTACACAATTTTGAATATTTGCAGACTGATCAACTCGACATTCGTTTAAAAGCAGTGGGGATAGTTGGAGATCTTTTTGCTCTGCCAGGCTCTACCATCAGTGAACCCTTTCAGCCAATCTTTTCAGAGTTTTTGAAAAGGTTGGCTGATAGAGGAGTAGAGGTCAGAATGACTGTCCTGGAACGTGTCAAAAGCTGTCTGCTGTCAAATCCTTTGAGACCTGAGGCTTCTCAAATGATCAGTAAGTCTATTGAGTGATTCTACAGAGCATGTATTTGCTCGGTGTTTATTTTGATGTATTTCATTGTTTTCAGCTGCTCTCTGTGATCGACTATTGGACTATGATGAGAATGTCCGAAAACAAGTTGTTGGTGTCATTTGTGATGTGGCATGCCATGCGCTGAATTCCATGCCTGTTGATACTATAAAACTAGTTGTGGAACGTCTTCGAGACAAATCTGTATGTATGCTTTTCCTTCATTCTAAAGTGTGATGAATTGTTTCTTAATTAGCTGCTAGCTATCATTTATAGTATTTCAAGTTGTATCTTTTTTTTTTTCCCTTTCTTTTCTTCCAGCTACTTGTTAAAAGGTATACCATGGAGAGACTGGCTGAGATTTTCAGGGTTTATTGTGTGAAGTCCTCTGATGCCTCAGTCAGTGCCACTGAATTCGATTGGATTCCTGGAAAGATTTTGAGGTGTTTTTATGACAGAGATTTCAGGTTAGTTGACTTTTGTTTGCTAGCTGTACCAAGTCGTTTCTCTTTCTTCTCTCTCTCTCTCTCTCTCTCTCTCTTAAAATTCCAATAATTAATGGTTGTCCTTCTTCCTTGTCATCAAAATGCTGGTGGTGGTGTGTTTATCATGCACCACTGGGACTTGGGGGCTTTCTGTTGTTAATGTAGATGCTGTTTTATATGTATGCTGAATAGCATCGTTTTAAACATCAGCAGAATGCCTGAGACAATTTAAAATGGATTAGAATTTGAGAAATACTTTTTCTCCTCTAAATTATGGTTAAACATTTTTGTAATGTTTTAAATCAATTTTGCAGATCAGATACAATTGAATCTGTTCTTTGTGGGTCCATGTTCCCAACTGAGTTCTCAGTGAAAGATAGAGTTAAACTCTGGGTCAGAGTGTTCTCTGTATTTGACAAAGTGGAGGTTAAAGCTCTTGAGAAGATGCTGGAGCAGAAGGCACGGTATGTTATAAATGCTTGGTTGACGTCAGGCAACTGCAGCTGAGATTTGATAAACCTTCCCTCTTTTAATTTTATGTATTTGATGCATTGTGTACTCATTTTCAGGGGATTTCCTCTTGGATTGCAGGTTACAACAAGAGATGCAGAGGTATCTATCCCTCAGACAGATGCATCAGGTTTGGAAATTTTGGAGATTGAATTAATCAAATTGAGGCCCAAGGGATTGAGCTAAGAATGTCAAAAATTAAATTACTGTTTTCTTGTCTGAGTACAGGATGGAGATGCTCCAGAGGTCCAAAAAAAAGTTCTGTTCTGTTTTAGGATCATGTCTCGGTCATTTGCCGAAACCACTAAGGCTGAGGAGAATTTTCAGATACTTGACCAATTGAAAGATGCCAATATCTGGAAGATTTTAATAAACCTGCTTGATGCAAACACTGGTTTCCATCAAGCTTGTATTTGTCGGGTAAGCAGTGAGATTGTTATGGGTTCAAATAAATTTGTACTAACCCACTGATACCAGCATGACCGTGTTGGCTTTTTGAACATCCCATCAGACCATTGCTGGTGATTTAGTATTACCATGTTGTATTATTGGTATAAAGATTCCTCCTACAGGCATGATCCGTGTTTAGCTAGCAACATGTGTTCTTTTGCTGCAAAGGCACACTCTCTTGTCACTATCATTGGATTACCAACTGCTTTTACGGCTATCAATGGATCAAATCATTACTTACTTTGGAGAGTACTACTGCAACTACATTTTTTTTACTTCCCAAATTAACCAGGCAACCTGTCACTAATATGATTTTAGTTGAAATGTTGAGTAATTTTTTTGACTATAATTGGAATTGGTTTCTATGAATTGTTCATATTGACAAGAATTGGACCCAATATCAACCTCACTTGAGTACCATTGTTGTGTTACTAACCAGGGGGATTGATTAGATTTTGATGATAAAATCGATGTTAATTGCAAATATCATAAATTCTAACTCATTGAGTGAACTAATTGAATTGGTAACATTAAGTTTGATCTTGTTTTCTTGATGACTTGGTTGATGATGAATCTTCATATTGCAATTCGTTTTTATGGGGAAGTTTCTAACATGGACAATCCTTTCATTTTTGCAGGAGGATTTGCTTAAAATACTTGGTGAAAAACATCGGCTGTATGATTTTCTGAGTAATCTCTCGTTGAAGAGTTCTTATTTACTTTTCAATAAAGAGCATGTAAAAGAAATTCTTTTGGAGGCTGCCACCCATAAGTCTGCTGGAAATATGCAATTTACTCAATCCTGCATGGATATACTGGTGGTAAGAACACACGTCTATGCTGAAATTATTCATTAATAACTTGCCTGTATTCTTGCAAGGGATGTAGTTCTCACTGCTCAGCCTTTGGTAGTCTTTCTGATGGTTATTGTGACTGCATCACTTGAGTTGAGAACTTTTTGCTGTACCATCACATATGAGATTTTTCTTATGTGTTATCATTATCTTTGTAGCTCTATCATGAGCTTGCTTCGTCATAAACTTTGATTATACAGTAGTATTATGTGATTTATTTTTCTTAGTTTCTTTCTGCTTTCTTTAAACAATTTTGAAATTTTGTGCGTGTAAATCTTCAGCTTCTTGCACGCTTCAGTCCAATGCTATTTGGTGGGGCTGAAGAAGAATTACTCAAGTTTTTGAAAGATGATAATGAGATAATAAAAGAAGGTGCTTTGCACATTTTGGCAAAGGCTGGTGGTACCATCAGAGAACAGCTTGCGGTGTCGTCAAGGTGCGGCTCTGGATAATATTGATATCTTATGACCATTGTTTTTATATATGCTCATACACTTCTTGTTGCTTACCTGTAGTTCAATTGACCTTATATTGGAGCGTCTCTGCTTAGAAGGGAGTCGAAGACAGGCCAAGTATGCTGTGCATGCCCTAGCAGCAATAACAAAAGATGATGGACTCAAGTCCCTATCTGTTTTATACAAGGTTATTTTTTATCCTTGTATTTTTTTTTCCTTTTATGCACCATTGTCATTAGATCTATTGAATTATGGCCATCTTGATGTTTATAATAAAAATGGTATTTACAAAAATTGATGTCTCTTGATTTGCAGAAACTTGTTGACATGCTGGAGGAAAAGAGAGATTTGCCCGCTGTACTGCAATCTCTGGGATGCATAGCAGAAACTGCAATGCCAGTTTTTGAGACCAGAGAGAGTGAAATTGAAGAATTCATAAAAAGCAAGATTCTTAAATGTAGCAGTGTATGTCTTTGAATATCCTTTTGACTTGTGTGGTTACTACCCATTCATGATAACTAATTTTGATATTTGCTTCATGATTGCAGAAAGCAGAAGAGAATGCAAAAGCATGCTGGGATGACAGAAGTGAACTTTGTTTGTTGAAGGTTGGTTATTTTTTCTTGATGTTTTCATTAATAGGATGATTTGGTAATATCAGTATTATGCTTGATGGTGCCACTGGATTTGTTCTTTACCTTACTCGTAGAGGGTGAGGAAATTGATCTTAAAACCTAACTTTGTTTAGGAGAGAGGAGAAATTATGAGAAGGGTATTTGAGGGTTTCCCACTATTTTTTATTTACTTCAGAACCCTGAAAATGCTTATCCATAAATTAGGCAAGGGGAAAGACATTTTATTTTATTTAATCAATTGCAAACTTACATTTTCTTCAAGAATCCGAGATATCTTTTTCCTTTTAGCTTCTTTTAACTTCATTTTTTTTTGGGATGTATTATGTTGGTTATATTTTTAGCACTTCACATCCCTTCTGTTTGCATTCTAACTAAACAAGGTGAGCAGAATTAATGTTTTGAGAATAGTCTGAACAAGATGATGGTGAACTCTTTACTTCCCTCTTCCTACATATTTTTGTATGACAATTCATCCCCTTCTCTTCATACTTCCTAAACAAAAGGTTACCTTTGCTCTACTGATATTTATATTGATGTAAGTAGTACTATTACAGTCCTATGTTGGATTACACCTGCGATTTGCCTGCAGATATATGGTATCAAGACACTGGTCAAGAGCTACTTGCCTGTCAAAGATGTGCAACTTCGCCCTGGCATTGATGGCCTTCTGGAGACCCTTAGGAATGTACTTCTTTTTGGAGAAATATCAAAAGATATTGAATCAAGGTCTTATACTCAAAAATTTTTTATAAATTGTATTACTGTAGTTTGTTGATGATTATTTTGCAAGTTGTTCCATTTCATGTACAGTTTGTCTTATATACAGTTCAGTTGACAAGGCTCATTTGAGGCTTGCTTCTGCAAAAGCGGTTCTTCGTTTGTCAAAGCACTGGGATCATAAGATACCTGTTGATGTCTTCCACTTAACCTTAAGGACACCTGAGGTAAGGTCCTTTGAAATGCTCCTTTACATCAACTATACCTCTTTGAAGTGAATGATTAATCTTGTTTTCAATTTTTCTCCTCCTTTACCTATTTCTTTTGTGTTTTGTAGATTGCTTTCCCAGAAGCTAGAAAACTTTTCCTTAGCAAAGTTCATCAATACATTAAGGATCGGCTTCTGGATGTGAAGTATGCTTGTGCTTTCTTTTTTAATACATCTGGATCTAATCCCCTTGATTCTGAAGAGGTATATATGTTAAAACTGATTTATTGAAAGTTATTATTATCAGCAGCCAACTGAAGTGTGTATCATGCTTGATTCGAGGTGAGCATTCTGAATTTATCTCTTATTTAAAATGACAGGAGAAGCAGAATCTAGCTGATATCATTCAAATGTATTACCAAGCAAAGGCAAGACAACTCTCTGTACAAAGTGATGCAAATCCCTCAGGAGCATATCCTGAAGACATTCTTCCTTATTTGGTCCATGTCCTTGCTCATCATTCATGTCCTAATGTAGATGAATGCAAGGATGTTAAAGCATTTGAAACAATATACCGGTATATCTACTTGCAGCTTTTGTTTTATTTTGAATGTGTTTTATGACATTATTTTTAATGATATAGTTTCATAAGTTAGAGCCAAAAAAAAAAAAAAAAGGTCTTAAGAAGAAAATGGAACTGACATAGGAGATACCACTAATTCTATTCTGTACTTTTTAGGCAATTGCACTTGATTCTTTCTGTTCTGGTGCATAAAGATGAAGATGCCAAGTCAGAACCTAGCACAAACAAAGAGAAAGAGAATTTAAAAGAGAGAGAGAATTTATCTGCAATAGTTTCTATCTTTCAAAGTATCAGGTGTTCAGAAGATATAATTGATGCTACAAAGTCAAAGGTTGTGCACTATATTCAAAGTTTGTTGTCATTGTTAAATTTTACATAATTATTTGAAGGTCAAACAAACAATGGGTAAAAGTTCAATGATTGCAAAACACCAGCTGATTTATGTAATCATTGACATTCACAGAATTCACATGCTATCTCTGAACTTGGGCTGTCAATCACCAAGCGCTTAGCTCAAAGGGAGGATGATTTACAAAGGTCGGCTTCATCAGTTTCCCTGCCTCCAATACTTTACAAACCGTATGAGAAGAAAGAAGGGGACGAGCTGGTACCTTGTCTCCAACTTCAAATTTTTAATTTTCATGTTCATTTGATTTTTTTTTTTAACTATATTGACCGATGGAGAAGAATGTGCCAATTTATGTCTATAGATTAATTTTGTTATGTTGCTGTATTTTAAATTTTAATACACTAGATTCACTTGTTTTGTTTCATATATTTTAATATGTTCTCTATCTTTAGTTGAATACCATGGTATTGATGCCATTCCATGTGTTTTTGATAGGCAACTGAAGGAAAAACATGGTTAGCTGATGTGCATGTCTTGACTCAACTTGAATCACTTAAGCTAGAAAGTGATGGAAAGGTATGCTCTACTCCTTAAGGGTGCTTTTTAGCTACAACATAATGTATTGCGATATTTGTTGCCACTTGTAACTTGTGTGCGCTTTCTGTGATCACATCAGATTAATTCAGGTATTCCTGAGGATGAAGTTCTAAAGGATGCTGAAAAAGAAGCAAATGAGGTGCCTCTTGGGAAAATAATAAAACAGTTAAAATTGCAGGGCACCAAGGATGGCAAAGTTAAAAAGAAGTCTTTATCAGCTAAAAAGAAAAATGCTGAAAGTGATGTTGATATCCTGAAGATGGTCAGGGAAATCAATTTGGATAATTTGGGGGCCTTATCTAGTAAGTTTGAGTCAAGCAATGGTCACAAACATTTTCCAAGTGAAACAAAGTCGGAACCAGGGCACCAAATAGCTAAAAAGAGAAAGGTTACTGATGTAGCATCTGTTCCAGTACCTAAACGACGGAGATCAGCTTCTCATAGTGCTTTCAGACTATCTTCGAGCAATTTATTTAATCCGCTTAGTGCTTCAGGGGATGATTCCAGCCCTGATGCAAAGGATAAAAAGTATGTCCGAAGGAGCACCGAGTCTGACTTGTTGGTATCATGTGTGCGAAAGAATATAAGCTTCTCGTCAAAACATAAAGGCAAAAGCTCTGATTTTGGTGATAATAGTAAGGAAAATGAGGATAATGATGATTATAATCTGAAGGTAAGCTTTTCCCTTTTACTTAAGAGGTAGCAACACCTTAATAACTTTGAATGGTTAATTTCGTTGATGTTCATCTCTTATTACTTCTTCTGTTATAGAAGTCTATTGAGTCAGGAGACACTGATAACATTGATGGAAGTAATAACTTCAAATCTTTGACTGGAAGCATGAAGAAGAGAAAAAGAAGAAGCATCGCAGGGTTGGGAAAGGTTAACATCTTTACATGCTTTTTGATTAACATCATCTTACTTTCTCATTTATATGTAGTTGTGTATTATTCTTGAAACTAATATTAAACATGGTTAAATAGCTAGTGCACAGCTTTGTGACGTGATCCTAGCTTGAGTGGACAATTTGAATGTACCTTTTGATTTTTTATATGTTGTTACTTGCTTTTCTCTATTTCCTTCTCTGTTATTTGCCTTATTATATTTGGAGCTTGCACTTGTTTTTGGTGGCCTAGAATTAGTTTGTACTGAACATCTATGCAGATATTGCTGGTATCATATCATTTTTCCTTCCAACACCAGCATGATTGGTGCTTTAAGTTATTCCTAATGTTGTCTTGGCATTTTTATTTGGCCCATCTTTTCCTTGTTCTTTCTTTTTTTTAACAATGTTTGGATCTGCTTCAGTAGTCCCCTTTTCTCCCACTTGTGATTTTGAGGCAGTTGTAGAGGTATAACTGGTTGCTCTAACCTGCAAACCCTATGCCTGAACCCATATCAAACCTGAAATAACTAATTTTTAAATTTAAAACGTTATCAAAAAACCCAAAATTTGTAAATAAAAATCCCCAAATAATATTAAAAATTACAGAAGAACTCAAAATACCTGAACAACCCAAAATGAATTCCCATAAGTCAGCCTATGAGACACACCCAAACTGACCTTAATTTGCCTATTCCGATGTGCTTGGCACCCTGTATTTACTTGAGTTCCACAATTGTTCTGTTTTTCTTGTCCAATTTTATTGTTGTTTGAATATTATCAACTATTGCAGTTGTCAGTCTCTTTTTACTGGTGATTCTTTCAGAGCATGCATGTAATTTGTTTTCCTTTTCAAGTTATTTACTTATCAGGGTTTTCTATGTGCCTTAATAGTGCTTTGGATAGTTTCCTTGCTAATATATGATTATTTCCCTTTCTTTCCAGTGCACAACAAAGAAAAGTGGCATTGATATGGAAGAGGTAATTGGTTGTAGAATAAAAGTTTGGTGGCCCATGGACAAGCAGTGAGTCCTCCTTCATCTGTACTTTTTTTTTTGAATATTTATTTATTTATTTGGTTTGGAGTGGTGTTGGGGGCTTGTGCGAGATCATTATTTCATTCAAGGTCAAACTTTCATTGAGAACAATATTTCCTGGCTTTGCATTCTCACATCTTTGTTTTGGTTCTGCACTTTAATTGATCTCTTCCAGTGTGCTAGTCAAACCACCTAAGACGACTCTTTCCTCTCAAGGAGTCATGAGCTACGCTGCTTTTCAGATTTAATTTTTATTGTTTTGTTGATGTATTTCAAGATGCTCAAATCTGGTTATGCTTTTTTTTCTGGGTGTTATCATTTAACAAGAAGATGCATAATTCTGGAAAGTAGTACTAGTAATAGGGGTGATATAGAGTTTGGTACCTGTTATTAAAAAAATTTTGAGTTGAAAATTTTTACTATTAAGGTATTCCTTTTGTTCAACAAAATTTTAAAAGTTATATCTAGCATTTGCAGTAATATCCTTATGGTGAATTATATTTGTTTTAATCAACAGATTTTATGAAGGCACCATCAAGTCGTATGATCCTATAAAAAGGAAACATGTGGTATGGTACTTTCTGCATCATTCTCCCTATCTCTCTGATTATGATTCTTATTCCCTCATATTTTTTTTCTGTTGCTACTTTGCGAAGATATTATATGATGATGGAGATGTAGAAGTGCTCCGTCTAGAAAAAGAGCGCTGGGAGCTTGTGGACAGCGGTCGCAAAACTATTAAGGTTCTACTATCTTATTTTCAGTACTTGTGCTAAAACAATTGAATATATCCTTTTCAATAAAGCTACCAGCAGTGCTTATTTTTTCCCCCTTCACTATTTCAGAAGGCAAACTTATTGAAGCATACCCTGTCAACTAAACTGTAAGTATTGCCTTCTAACTGAAGGATTGTAAAGCTTTCTTTTTGTGAAACTGAAATTTTTTTATAAAAATATTATCTGCATTTGCAGTGATCTGCTGTATTTCTACGATTATCCATGTCATCTTGTCTTAGTCATGGCGTTGTTTCTTGGTAAAGCTTGCTTTTTCTCTGAGAATTCCTTGTCTAATATTTGTTTTACCTGTTTTACAGCTCGCCTGCACAGAAAAGAAAAAGTGTGGGTAATTCACATCAAAAGAAGAGATCAGAAAATATGTAAGTGTGAGAAGCCCCATCAGTGGAGCAGTCTTCTACTTGTGTTTTTATTTCTCTAATGGCACCATGTATTGGTTGGTCGATTGTGTTTGTGTTTTTATTTTTTTTATTTTTTATTTTCAGAGTTAAAGGCAAAAGAACTCCCAAGAAAAATTCCAAGCGCATACATAAAGAACCTGAGGACAAGGACGACTCTGATGTATCAAATCCTGAACCCTCTGAGGAATCTAGAGGAGATGAAGCAAAACCAGGTGATGTACCTACTAGTTTTCAAATTGATGTCAGTTACTGTGCAATGTCTGTGTTCTTGTGAAATGCTAAATCAACCTTGCATGCTTACGTTTCACAAAATATTTATAGAGAAAATTCATGAGTTAATGTGGATCTATTATTTGTTATTTAGGCAAATTTTATCATTTAAATTATGTTTGGTAATTTTGAAAAAGAAGTGTTAGTGGTTGTATTTTGTTTGTTTGGTTTACAAGTTCTCCTATTCTCTTGATGTTTAAAACTTGCATGCAAGCTATATTTTTATATCATCTCATGAGTCATAATTATATCGCTTTCTCTCAGGTGATTCTGATGGGGAACATGCTGAAGGGGTGACACAAAACCCAACAGATATGGATGAATCTGACAAGGAAGTGACATCAATTTCTGGAGAAAAACACTTGGAGGACACACTGGAGAACCAAAATCATTCCGAGGAATCTGATGGAGAAGAAAAATCCAATTTGGAAGTTAAAGATTTTGCGGATACTGAGAGTATACCAGAAGATGCTAAAAAAGATGCGGCAGAAGAACCCCATTCAGAGGAACGAGAAGATGAATTAAGTGAAGGCCTAAAAGAGGAATCTAATAAAGACAAATCGGACTCTGAAGGGGATCAAGATGAAGATGCAATTGGGACTGGTCAGAAAAGTCTGGAGAAACTAGATGCAGAATCGAGTCCTTCCAATGCTGGGGATGCTGAATTCTCTGACAATGAGCCTCTTGTACTTGCCTTTTGAATTGCATTTTAGATTATTTTGATCCATCGAAACATGTTTAACATCCCAATTTCACTCTTATAAAATGCAGAGCAAATGGAAGAATAAAGTACGAAAATCAGCATCAAGACAAGCAAGATGAGGATTTGAGGCTGCAAACTGCCAACTGGACAAAGAAGACACGAAGCCTTGGTTTGGTTCTGTTTTAGACTCTAATCCATTTTGTTTAACTGGAGTAGCTGGCAGGAGGGTGAAAGAAGATGAAAGGTATTTAATGTTGTAAACACACTAATAAAATTTCAGAAGTGGTTGCCTCTGATCACATACGAATGTAAAGTAACAGTAGGCTCTTCAGTAGGAATGTAATGTTAGTCTCAGTAGTGTCCTGTCCTGTAATTGTGTTTGGACTAGTGGTAGAAGAAAAGATTGGTATAATGGTTCATGGATTGTAGTGTAGTCCACATCTTTCTAACCACCAAATGATAGGTCACTTGTACAGTTATAGCTGGGAACAGTGTTGTATGTTAGAAATATTCATGTTTGATTTTTGACACCCATCAAAGTGATAATGTTAGACTCTCTTGTTTGCTTTAATATTTAAGGGTGTAACTTTGGATCTGAATATTCTAATCCATGTCAATCCATATCGAAATTTGGTTTACCAAATGTTAATTTGAAATGGAATTTTGGAATACAGAATTTAAAATGGAATGCATTTTTTAAAGTATTGGTATATGAAATATGGGATGGAAAATGAAAATAAAATTCCATATTTCAATTTATATATCAAAATTTTATTTTATTATTTTTAATTTATAATTATATATTTTAAAATAAAATATTTGAATAAAATATCGTTAATTCTTCATATTTTGTAAGAAAGTTTCAATTTCATTTTAAAACTACATAGTTTAATAAAATATTTTAACCTCAATCCTAATTAGTAATTAAAATATATTATGTGCTTGAATATTCATATATATGATTCCAAGTTATAATTTTTTTACTTGTTATTTGATTATATGGTTTAAAATAATTTTTTTTAGTAGATTTAGCACATTTTAATGTATTTGGTGACTACATATATTGATACATCTTACCTTTTGTTGATTTTATAATAATAATAATAAACTATTTTGTAAAGAAAAGTTTCAATTTCATTTTTAAAACTACATAGTTAATAAAATAATTTTTAAACCGTCAATCCTAAATTAGTAATAAAATAGTATCTATGGTGCTTGAATATCATCATATAGACGTAGTCCAGAGGTTATAATTTTTTTTACTTGTATTGATTATATGGGTTAAAATAACTTTTTTTTAGTATGATTTAGCACATTTTAAATGTATTGGTGGACTACAATATAACTGATACATATCTAGTACTTTTGTCTGGATTTATAATAATAATAATAATAATAATAAAAATAATATTATATTATTATTAATTATTCAGCTGTTAATTAATAATTTGAACTGAATTATTAAAATGTTAAGGTAAAGTATAACCCCATCATCGTATAAACACGTAGAATTAAATAATTTTGATTTTTAGTTATAATGGTGATATTAATTATTAATTTTAAAATTTAAATTATTAAATGTTAAGGGTAAAGTATACCCATCATCTATAAACACGTAAGATTAAATATTTTGATTTTTAGTTATATGTGATATTAATTTATTATTTTTAAAATTTAATTATATCTTTTAGTGTGTATATATAAAAATATGGTAATTATCCCTTGTTTAATTTAAAATTTACATATTAAGAAATATCATAATACATTAGATTTATATTTGGTTAAGAAATTTGGAACTACCGAATTTCAATGGAATGATATGAAATAAAATTTTAAATTCCAAAAAATATTTGAAATGGAATGGAATGCAATTTTAAATTTCAAAATATTTTTGAACGGAACACCACAATTAATATCAATTTGTATAATTGGTAGGAAGCCACATATGCGTGTAAAGACTCTGAATTTTAGGGCACTTTGTCTGTTCATCTCAATTTCATCTTTTATAGCGATAGTAATTTAACGTCAATTGGAATTAAAGTTAGCGAAATATGATTTTCAATAGGGACCTTATGAAAATTTTCTCTTCAGCTGCAAACATCCCTCGTTACAAAGCGGGATGGATCACTTTTGCTTGTGAAGAGAGTGAAGGGCGTCATGAATTCGTGTTTAAGCAGCAGGTACTAGGGATGGCCGGTTCATGGAATCCCCTCTCCAAAATTTTTTACACATTGAACTTGAAATTGCCCTTGAATTGCTTGCTTCGACTAATGGTTTTGATCATGGTTTTCTCGATCATGTATATGTTTTGTAGAAAAAAAAAAATACAAATTCAATTCTAAGATTAGGTTTTCCTTACAAAAAAATTAGTGTAAATTTTAAAAAATATTAGTTAAATTTTATTTTAAATAACTTTTAAAATGCTAATATCATATAAAAAATAAAATTAATTAATTTTATAAAATAATCAAATAAATTATCATTTGATGTTATCAAAATGTTATTAATTAAATAAATTGTAAGCTTTTTTTTAAAAAAAAATTTGAAAAATGCTTTAAATAATGTAATTTTAGACTTATTCAACTAAGTGTAAATCTGTTGGGTTAAGTATTATTTGATTCAGTCATCCTTAATTAATTTTTTAATTTGTAATGGTTAAAATTCATGAGTAAATTATCTTAGGGAGTCAATGTAAGGATGTGGAAACTGTGGAGGTCAATTTAGACGACTGCGTTTTGACAAACAACAAATAATTTAGTATTGCAAAAGCTGCCGCATGGGGTACGTTAGGATAATTTTCTTTCCCAGAAAAGGAAAATAAAAATGAAATGATGATAATTTTATTTTTAATTTATAATCAAGTATTTTGTAAATTACTAACTTAAAATTGACTCGTCTTTCTATTGGGGTCTGCTGTTGAAAATGGACTTCTATTCTATGCCTAACTAACGTAGAACGAGTCCTCTAATTTCAGTTTCATTTTCTAGTTAATCCAGAAGTCATGCAAGATTTTTCCGAGACAGAACACTGCTTACCAAAATTTCTATATAGAAAATAATCTGAACCTTCCTATACGTATTCTCCCATTTCACTGTCGCAAACTAAGAAAGAAACAATTATCTTAACTAGATTCTAAATTGGAAACAATATTTGCTTTCACATTTATCAGTTTCATACTATTTTAATTCGCAACTTCAAACTGCCAAGGAGACGAAACTTGCACTTCCATGTTCATGAGCTTTAAAATGGATATCCAGTTTTTCTTGATTATTCTATTGTTTCTTCTTATATCACCTCTCATTTCTTTATCTGCTTCTGATTTTGCTTTAAGGTGGAACTCGCATCTATCTGTGGAAAATCCAGAGGACATTTTGATTTCACCAAATGGGGTTTTCTCTGCTGGATTTTATCCTGTTGGTTTCAATGCTTATTGTTTTGCTATATGGTTCAGCAAACCATCTTGCCAAAACAACTGCACTGTCGTTTGGATGGCAAACCGTGACTTCCCAGTTAATGGCAAACGCTCAAAATTCTTGCTGTTAGAAAATGGTAATCTTGTATTAACAGATGGTGGCAAGTCCACTGCTTGGTCGTCAGGGACTGTATCTCTATCCCCTACAGAGTTACGCCTCCATGATACTGGTAATCTTGTGCTTCAAAATGCAGAAGGTGTTGTGGTTTGGCAAAGTTTTGATTCACCTACCGATACTCTTCTTCCTTTCCAACCACTCACCAGACATACTCAGCTAGTCTCATCGCGAAGTCGCACCAACTTTTCTTCTGGTTTCTACAAACTAATCTTCGATGAAAATAATATTCTTCGTCTCGTCTACGATGGTCCAGATGTTTCAAGTACCTACTGGCCATATCCATGGCTTCAAGACTGGGACTATGGAAGGTTTCCATACAACAGCAGTAGAATTGCCTCTTTTGACTCGCTAGGCAAGTTTACTTCTTCTGATAATTTGGGTTTTATATCAACGGATTATGGAGAGAGACTCCAGCGGAGATTAACAATTGATTATGATGGGAACACTCGATTGTATAGCCGAAAGGAGGACAGCGCAATTTGGATTGTTTCATGGCAAGCCAAATCTCAAGTCTGTGAGATTCATGGAATTTGCGGACATAATAGCACATGCAGCTATGATCCGATTTCTGGTATCAAATGCTCGTGTCTTCCGAAATATAAGATAAGGAATACTGCTGATTGGGCTTTTGGTTGTGAACCGGAATTCAATCTTTCATGTGACAATGACACAGAGTCCAGTTTCATTCGACTTAAACATGTTGAATTTTATGGCAACGATGCTTGGTTCTACAAAAATGTCAGCTTAGAGTACTGCGAGAAAGCATGTTTACAATCATGCAATTGCAAAGGATTCCAGTACAGGTACGTTGGGGATAATCCAATCCCATATTGTTATCCTAAAATGTCATTGCTTAACGGGCAACGTTCCCCAAGTTTTGGTGGAGACTTTTATTTGAAAGTTTCCAAAAGCAATCTATTCTTAGGTAAACATACAGTTGTTTCAGGATTCGGGTTGGATTGCTCCGGTGAGCTTGAAGTGCCTTTGAACAGAAAGTACCAAACAAGCGGTGAAAATGGGACCTTGAAATTCATACGTGATTTCACCTATGGGTTAGGGGGAACCGAGATTGTTGTCATCTTTGTTGTCTGTTGTTTCTTGATTAAGTCTAAGAAGGATTCTGATGAAGCTACACAAAGTTACCATCCTGCAGAAACTGGATTTAAAAGATTCACTTATTCTGAGCTCAAAAAGGCAACTGGAAACTTCAACGAGGAGATTGGAAGAGGAGCAGGAGGAATTGTATACAAAGGGATGTTGCCTGACAATCGAGTTGCAGCAATCAAACGACTTAATTTAGCTAAACAAGGAGAGGCTGAATTTTTAGCAGAAGTCAGCACTATTGGGAAGCTTAATCATATGAACTTGATAGAGATATGGGGCTATTGCGCGCAAGGGAAGCACAGGCTTTTGGTGTACGAGTACATGGAGCATGGATCCTTGGCAGAAAATTTATCTTCAAAAGCACTTGATTGGCGAAAGCGGTTTGAAATTGCCATAGGCACTGCAAGAGGACTCGCTTATTTACATGAAGAATGCTTAGAGTGGATTTTACATTGTGATGTAAAGCCTCAAAATATACTCCTGGACTCAAACTACCATCCAAAGGTATCTGATTTTGGCTTATCTAAGCTACTAAGCAGAGGCAAGCAAGAAAACTTCTCAAATATAAGAGGAACTCGAGGGTACATGGCTCCTGAGTGGGTTTTCAATTTGCCAATCACATCCAAAGTGGACGTCTACAGTTATGGGATTGTTTTATTGGAGATGATCACCGGAAAAAGTCCAGCAACACTAGCTGATCATGGCACAGAAACATGTGAGGAGATTGAGCACAAAAGATTAGTGACACTGGTGAGAGACAAGAAAGTTAAAGCTAATGGAATATCCTCATGGATTGAAGACATCGTGGATCTTAATTTGGAAGGAAAATATGATCAAGATAAGATGGAAACTCTTGTAACATTGGCCCTGCAATGTGTGGATGAAGACAGAGATGCTAGACCTACTATGAGCAAAGTCGTTGAAATGCTTCTGCACCTTCAAAGTCATTAGGCTAACACTATTTGCTTTCATTATCATTATTGTCTCTGAGTTTGTATCGTTCTTGGCACTTAAGGTTTTTCTTCTTTTTAAATAAAAAAAAAAAAAGATTTTATAATTTCAATAAAATCATCCATTCTATATATAAATCTAGAAATAAAAATGAATAATGAGATTTCCGAACGACGCCTTTAATAAAATTTGGATATTTTAAAACAACTTTAGGTTTAGTTAATCAGAAAATTACATTTTATTAGTTGATGAAACATAATTTATGGTAATTATAATAATGATTGAAAGTTATTATTTTGATTATATTTTATAATATTTTATTTACGAAATAGATAAAATAAGAAAAAATATATTCTTTTTTCTTTGTATTTATATGATTTGATTGGATATAATAAAATTTCAAATAAAATATACATTTCGATTATAATTTATAGATATTTTATTTACGAAATAGAGTAAAGCATAAGAAAAAATATTAATTCTTTTTTCTTGTATTTATACGTGATTTTGATTGGATATAATAACAATTTCAAATAAAATATACATAATAATTAATGATAAAAAAATAAAAAAGTATATATATACTTTATTAATATTTTAATATTCTTTTTTCTTTTATATTTATATGATCTTGACTTGAATATACTATTTTTAAAAATAAAATTTTCACAAAATAGAATATATATAACTAGTCAACTTTAACGCGGATTGTTTTGATAGTTATAATTTATAATACATACATAAAAATTTTTTTTCGGCGCCCAAATATACTTTAATTGTTAATATTTTATTTATAATTCGTATCTTAATACATATTTTATATAATATATTATTATATAAAAAATTTATTTTTCCCGTGGATTACTTTATTAAATTATCGTATTGTAGAAATTTTAATAAATTATCATGTTTATAGAAATTTATTAAATTCAAATTCACTGCTTCAAGTAAATTATTGATAGAAATGAAAAAGCATCCGCCATTACTATCCTGCCAAACGAAGCTTTAGCAGTAAACTGCGTCTTTTACCTTCGCATGCTTCTAAAAGAAGATTCAAGAAATCTTCGAATATTTTTGCACAAAATCAAAGCTTTAAACCTTAAAGTGATTATAGTAGTAGAAAAAGAAGCTAACCATAACCATACTGAAACATCCACCGCCCAATCCTGAGAGATCCGACGGCGGATGTCACATTCAGTGCCGGAGACACCGTCTAACTTAACACAAAATCATAAAATCAAATTATGAATTAGAAGTGATTAAGTATCCACAAGTTTAGCGAGTAATTTTTTTTTGTTATAAAAATATATATTTAACTTATGAAAAACGATTTGGGAAAAATCCTACAAATTAACTGCAAGAGTTTCCCTTAAACTGAGTTCACAAAAAATGTGAATACCAAAACACTTCCTAATCCAAATTCCAACTCCCAACAACTCCAATAACAATTAAGCAACATAACAACACTTTTATATCTTCATAACTATATAAATCCTCAATAGCATTTTAATGATCATTAATTAAATGCATTCATTGTATATATCAAGTCCTTATGTTCTTAATCATACCAACTAACTTAAACATATTTTATATCCAAACATTAAATAAAATATCATGCTTATCTCCAAATAAATACACCAAAATAATTTATCATTACATGCTTAAATTATAATTCAAATAACATAATCTCCAAAAATATAATAATTATATATGTCATAATTCTTAATTACATAAATCTCAATCTACTGCTACCACAATAGTCTCTTCTGCTCTAATGCTACTCTCAATCATACCTGCTACCCCGACAAATAGTCTCTTACTGCTCTAATGCTTGGTCTTCGAGCAGCAACCACGGTCTTCAAACTGCGCGTGATAAAAATCAACGCGCTGAGTATGAAACTCAGTAGTGCTCATAAATCACATACTTACCAACATTGTGATGACAACATACTTAAAACATAAATTTCATAAAAAGGTTCGCAAATATAAAATCATTGGATATTCAACATGCATATACATTTAGCTAAAGAAATATCACAGTAAACTTACAATTTGATAACATAAATAACTTAATCCTTTCATATCATAAGTTCATTACTTTAGACATTTATTTTACCAATAAACATAGACATTTATTTTACCAATAAACATACTATTTAATATTTGATAACATAATCATTAATTTCCAAAGTAAGGTTTACTAAAATAATATGATCTCATTCGTTTAATTGCCTTGTAAATATTTTCTAAGGGGCTCTCATACACTTAGGAGAAAGAGAAGCAGATAGGTTTTCATAACTTATTCATAATGGTCTTAGGTCGTCAACCTTTTTATAATGGCCTTAGGTCGCCATCTTATTCATAACATATAGAGCGCGTCCGCCCTAATATAAGACACCCATATACTTAGCATATGATCATAGCTTCTTATCATAATGGCATCAAATGCCGAACATGCTCATCATACATAATAAAATCAAATCTCACATCAAATTCACACCAAGTATATTAGAGTACATGCAAATTCACAGCCAAAGTTATATTTAGAGCCCAAAATCTTTTTGTTTTAAATTCTTATTCATAACACTATCTCATAAAACTTATCTTTATTCTATCACACATCAAATTCACACCAAGTATATTAGAGCCCAAAATCCTTGTTTTAATTCTTAATTCATAATACTTCTCATAAAACTTGTCTTATTCTTAAGTCTTCTTAAATTCATAATCTAAGCTTACTTTAGAACGTAAGTAACTCATGAAAATTTCATACTTAAACATAATTATTTAATATAGAAAATTTCTTACCATATGAAATCATATATGTAAGCTTACTTTAGACTCATGAAAACGTCATACTTAAACAGAAGTACTTAATATTCCTTTTCTTTTAAAACTTTCTTAGAGTCATAATTCCTTAATATAAGAAATTTCTCATAGGAAATTTCTTATCATATAAACTCATACTTTCCTTATACAAAATTCAAAGCACATACACCTTAAATACCCATTTTTATATATATATATATATATAATATTAGTGTGACATCCCAGGTTTGGGCCAACATTTAGGCCGAATCCCACAATCGGCTACGCACAGGTTGGGAAGTCCTATACATAAAGGGTGGCAACCTTGAACTGGTTAGAAGCGTTTTGGGCTGGCAGAGTGGAGGTCAGAGTGGAGGTTTCCCTGGCCCAGAAACAAAACCGTGCGGGCTTGTGTGGCCCAAAGCGGACAATATCTACCATGGGCTGGGCTGTTACATATAGTGTAACATAAAAAAAAAAAATTAAGTAAGCCTTACCACCGTAAAGTGGTTCGGCCTCTTAATGAAAACCAAGGGGAGGAATTTCCCTCTCCAATCAAGCATTCTAATATAACTCTTATACACCAAAGTATCCATTTCAACCCTCATCATGCATTATCTAAACCAATTCCACACTTTTTCCCGAAATTTCCAACAAATTTCCCCATTTATATCCATTTAATCAAAACACTTCATTACTTAATACCCATCATTTCAAAATTTCTCAACTTAAAATTTACAAAAATTTCCACATTCTTCAAAGGAAATATTTCAAATATGTATATATACTTAATATAGTATAAAAGCACATAAATCAATAAATTTTCAGCATTTTCATAAACTTGACATTTGCTATGTTTTTAAAACATAACTTGAGTTATGGGTCTCCAAATTAAATGAAACCAGATTCATTAGAAAGATAAGACAAAACGCTACAAATGTTATGAAGGGACCACAGCCCAGATCAATCAGTAAGGTAGCAAACAAAAGCTAGGAATACAGACCAACAGATCAGACCTGATTCAGCAGAACCAAGTCCAATGTTTATTGAATTCCTACTTAACTTTCCAAAATCCTCAATCATAAACCAATCCAAACCATGGAAGTCTCAATAAGACATAGGGAAACAACTCTCATGAAGAACTCAGAACATAATCTTGCCATTATAGTGGTCAAAATGGGCACTCAATTCAGTGATGCATGTGGCCCGATGTGACAGAGTCAATTTGGGTTTTTCAGCCATAAGTTGAGCTATATGTATCCAAATTGAACACAAGAGGACGAGTTAGAAAGATAAGAAGTAGACCTACAACTTTCATGAAGAGCTCAAACATAAATGGAAAACAAAAAGGATTGAAAAATAGTCCTTAATCTCACCCAATAACACATTTTTCCAAACTTTAGCTTACTTTAACCATGAAAGAAGATGAAAGACAAAGTTACATGGTAGAGATTTCTACCACATACTAAATATTCATCAAACATCACCCAAGAGCATGTTATTACAACCAAAGTTCAACAAATCAATCATTTCATACAAAATTCCAAAATATATACATGATAACATAAATGCACAAATTGATAACAAAATGCACAACAATCAAAATTTAAAGTAGGTAGTGTCGTTTATGAAACTAAGTGTGTTTATGAACACTAACCTTCAAAACAAGCTTTAATAAGCTTTAATCAAAGCTCCTTAAGCTTTGGTCTTGCCCTTACCCTTGGTAGAAGGCTCTTCACCCTTTTACCAAGTAGAAAAATCACCAAAATTCTTAAAATTTGTCACAAAAAATCACTTCTCAAGCTTTAATCTCTAGGATTTATTATTTAAATAAAGTTGGATGGGGTAAATTTGGTGGATTTAGCAAATAAAAGATGAAGAAAAACAAAGAGAAGAAGAAGAGGAAGTTCGCGTTAAAAATGGAGAAGAAGAAAAAGAAGAAAAGTGTTGCTCAATAATAGAAAGTTGAACATTATAAAGTGATCACAGGGTATTTAGGTCTTTTCCCACAATTAGATGGCTAAGATTAAGTCAATAGTAATCTCATCTAATGGCTAAAAATATTCTCCAATTAAATTCCTTCACCTTCAAAAGTCTATATTTTTCTATACAAATTTTTTCAAATTTACTCCAATAAAATAATTCTCAATTTTCCTTAATTAATATAACATCATAATCAACTGGTTAAACTAATTTCTAATTCTCTCAATATTCTTATTACTTTCTTACCATAAAATCATGTATTCATTATTTACTTTCTACCCATAAAAATCATGTATGCATACTCCAAAAATATTAAATAAAATATAAAA